CGCTCCCCGCCGGGGTCCCCGATGGGGACCCCGTTCCCCGATGAACACTATTTATATGAAACAACGTGTGGATGAATGAATTAATTCAATGTGTTGTCAATTACAATACCATATATACACAACCTTTGCATAAGTGATTCAAGCCTTTTTTCCTCACTGTCAACATTGCACTAACTGTAAGATGATAGAAAGGATACATTGTGATTATTACTCATTAGGAGAAGACGAATAAAGTTTTGATTTTTGTTCAGATATTGGAATGGAACAAGGATTGTTATCGTGCAACTGTTTTCATAACTCCAATCTAGCATATCGATGATACTTTTCAGAAATTTGGCTAACCAACGAGTATTTTGTTTGTGAACGAAAGTCATTTAGTCTGAAAGATTAGAAGCAATCTCTGACGCTCGATTAGTGGAAACTTATAATGAGACAAAAGGAAGGAATAAGGTGCATTGTTAGTTATTTTGTTTCTCCTTTACTGATACCCTTTTCTGAGAGAGAGAAGATTCGAAATGATCAAAAGTACTATTTTTATGCGTCAGCATCTTCAGCCACCCGAAAACATTCGATGAAGAGCATCCACTCAACTTATTCAAAGAATATTAGCGTTATATGACGACTCATCAACGACAACGTTTCGCTGCTTATTCAAAACAACACATCTCTGACTACAACCTGCGATGCGTGCGAATAGCTTACATAACCATTGAGCACATCACATTCATTCTGACGACAATCAAAGTGCACAAGCGATCGCACTGAATGCTTGGTAGCAACTAATCTTTTGTGCATATCACTCTCCGAAAAGTAGAATAAGAGTAAAATCATGTTCACATTCAAATAAACTTCCATATCCATTACCTCAAATCCACAACTACTTATTTGTGGCAGTAATATTAAGCCTAGTAAACGCATTTCATGCGTACTTTGCTTGTATAAACTTTACGAATGACCAAAAAATAAGTGTTTCACAAAACAAATAGTTAAATAATCGATGATTACACTCGTTACCCTTAATTTATTCAGTATATTGTTACAGTTTAATGTTGCATGAAAACGATGCGAAGAAAGATATTACTCCTCTTCACGGCCGTGACCCCAGATGAACCTCGGCCTAAGCTCCTCCTCCCCCCCCCCTCAAAAAAATGAGACAAAATAGTTGGTTTAACTTTTCAAATTTAATGTCCACCTTTTAGCGCAATAACTGAAGAGCTTTATAATGCTTGCAAAAAAGCGAATCAATATGACTTTTACATCTAACAGAAGAAATCAAATCACACTAAGTACTTATTCAGGTGGCTCATATGGGTTCATTACAACTATAAATAAACATCTGAACCGCTCTTGCAATGAGATGAAGTCATGCGAACGCCATNTATCCACTGCATTTTCGGCTTAACCACCTTTCTGCAGAACAACGAATCGTGTACTTAAAGAGCAACAACTCTGAAAAAATGATCGATGCCAACGGTTTGCAATTGACAATGAACACGAACAACTGCTCAAAATCTGAACGGGAGTGTCACTGAAAAAGTTACGTCAAATATGCCTAAGCGGAGGAGAGTTTGTGCCACAAAAGTTGGGTGCAATTGGATTTTGAAAAAGGTGAGTCATACGAAGGTCATCAACTCTTATGTGAACCAACAATAGCAGCCGTGTTTGCCCTGATTAAAATTAATAGGATGCAGTGTTCTTCGATAGCTTGTCACTATTATGATCAATAACCTCACGAACACTTTTCACGATTAGATTGAAGAGAAATATTGAATGCGAACAAAAACCTGCATACATACATCATCATATAAATGAATTATGCTAACAAATAATTATCCTCTTATGCAACGAACAAATAGGCAATAAATGGCCTGAAGATCTCGAACTAGAGATTCATCATTCGTTTTTTAGAGTGTCACTCTCCGTGAAATTCAAGAACACTTGCTGTGTTGAATTTTAATAAGCATACCCATAACATTCCCCCTCTCAATTTAACGGGTTAATAGAGGGAGCTCGGCGCAATAAAGCCGATTGTCCATTGAAACGAAAGGTGAATATATTGTTCACCAGTGATAATGATGAAACAGAGAGAATATATCGCGACTGGCATAATATATCGATGACTGATACATTTACTAGAATTATCATTAATTCCATTTGAAGTGGAACAGAATCACTGAGAACTCTAATTTTACTGTTGTATTTAGCAATTTCGAAATGAAAAAAATTAATTCGGCGTAGATTCGGCTGCTACAGATTTCGTACACTATATCCAAAATGCATTAGATCGATGTTCATTGAATCAAGGTTTGAGTGCATATTATTATTACTATTCTTCATCATTACTGTTATCCGACCTTTCTGCGTCACAAACCTCAACCCATAACCCTAACCATCGAACTCAAATTGCAAGCGGTGAAGGCAAACCACTCTTTCATCGCATTCATATTTTCACACCTTTATTAGAGAGACACTTCTGCCAAGTTTCGAAGTCTCTAAGATCCCGCTTTTCAAAAAACAACTTCTGTTAAAGTTCGCTCCAAAATTCGAAAAGTAACTGGGTGAACTTGTGTTTTTTACATAAAGCGTCATAATGCGAGATTTTCGGATTTCGGCACCCTTAAGATGAAAATTGGTGTGAAAGATTGCTGCTTAAATGGTTTCCTGACCTAACTCACCTAATCATAGATTGCAGGTGATGGGAAAATGTCAAGTGAAAATGGTTGAACGACGAAATGAATATTTGCTATCGAAGCGCATAGTTGTATGTGTCGTTGAATTTAATCGCATTAGTTCTGATTAGATTATCGATGTAAACAATGGTATACTGCTTTGAAGCTACATACAGATAACCAAAAACGAAAATTTATTCAAAATAACGTCCATTTGTAGCACTGATCAAGTCTTTAGCGGCTTGGCTATATCGCAATAGATTGTATTGTGGTGTCATTTGATGAAAGCATTTTGCGACTAGTTCACAGTGCTTGAAATTGGATTTGAGTGCTCAACTCTGGCTGTTCACTGTGGCGAGTAGAAGTGGACAAGATGAGTGATAAGGAAATATACGTGAACAGGTGTATTAAGAAAGAAAATAATCTTAAGAACGAGTCGGATTATACGAATTTAATGCGATTCTCTGCACACTGCGGCTAAATGCAGCTGACGACTACTACCTAAAACAATCAGCACTTTCTGAGGATGCGACGCCTGCTAATGCGCTAATGAGTAGCAGACTTTCAATTTGATCATAATTCATAGCTGTATAATGTCGACGCATTCAAAGCAAAAATAAAAATTGGTAAAGGAAGACACCAACAAGTCGAGCTGTCTTTTAAAATACAATTCGGCCAGCAAAATGAGAATAGTTGTGTTCAGCTCATCGCAGTCAAAAGTACTCGCAATTCACACCTGTTCAGTGGGATTCAATCAGTTGCGCAAGGAATACAAATTTGGGCAGAAGACGACGACAGAGGTCAAAAGAAAACTTGAAAAAAAGCTTCACGTAATCTGATAACAACATCAAGTTGCTATGATGCAGCAGAGCATAACACAGATATTTCTAACTCATTTCTGCAATCGTAAAATTGGATTGCATCGAAGACAATAAATGCGAAAGCATGCAACGCAGAACTAGTTGGTGAAAGTACTAATTAGGTGTGATAATAGTAACCAAAATTCGACAAGAATAAAAGCTGACCGAATAATCAATTAAACATACCATTTGCTAACTCGGAAACAATTTTCAGCCAGCTCTTAACTTCTTCAGTAGTTCGCTGAATCTCCTCGTCGAATGCCAGTGATGGTGTCTGGATTTTCCATGCCTCCTTGAAGAAAAGGCTCTTCTCGGTGAAGAACATCTTGATAGCATATAACGAAAAGTAGCAGTGACTTGATAGATCTTCGCCCACTTGCTCACCAGTGGACACCTGCGGTCGATTGATGGCTCGTCGTTTGTCATGATACATAAAAATCAAGTTCTGATAGCCGATTGCAGAATGCGACTTGGCTATCTTCTCTTCACCTTTATATGCTATCAATTTGTAGATACTATCAGCCATTTGTCGATAACTGCCCTGCATACGTGTCAAGAATGGGTATGTCTTTTGAGCTCCCAACATAGATGTCATGCCTGCGGTAGTAATCACTGGCACACCATTCCCAAAGCCAGCGCTAACTTTCGCTACTGTGGCTAAGCTGTAACTATCTGCGAATCCCAAGATTGCATCCAAACGCCCTGCGCAATATGCATCAACCACTCCAACCGTTGCCCAACGCTCGGCTAGAATCGCATCCTCCCAATACCTTGAGTCATGGTACGTAAAGTTAATGAACTTTCGAGGCATCCAGCCAGCTTTAACCACATCTTCAACACTAATTTCAACAACGGGCTTTGCCTTGTCCATTGTGATGCCAAATTTATCATTATTCGATTCTTTTTCAGGTAATACGAGAATTACATTAAAAGGCAATTTGACTGTAGATGTGATTGACGACGCTAACTGAGCGTGTAAAAAGAGTAATATCAGAAGAATAAACGAATTGGAATTGGTCATGGAACGATAACGGCGAAAGAATAACTGTTGGGGTGAAACGAGCAGTGTGCTCGAGATAGCTGCTCTTTCATGCATCAGAAAAGATGTCGACGCCAAGTTGAGCATCTGTTTGAGCAACGACATTACTGAGCGAGAGGCTGCTGCAGCATTCACATGCCGATCCAGAGCGCTTCTCAACGAACACAACAGGTGCGAGTGAAGCAATTTCAATCCGAATCAAATGAACTCTTGTTCTCTCCTGTTCTCGACAATTCACAAATGCTATTGCTGCTACTGTATTCGTTCGTTCGTTCGTTTAGAGATCATTAAACATCAATCAATCAATCAATCAATCAGTCAATCAATCAATCAACCAATCAATCACTCAATCAATCAATCGAATTAGATCGCTCCAATAATAGTGATGATGCAATAACAGCGATGATAAAGATTACACTGATGATAATACTAACTGGTCGACCGGCCGTATATGGTGATGAGCAGCAACTAGTGAACAAAACAGTGCAAACGCACGACTCCAACTCAGAACAGTCGAATATTAACAAATAGCGAGCGAGCGAACGCATTCAATAAAACATTTAGGGTGTGTACTAATTTGCGTTGTTTGAACTTGCTTTGTGATTAGCTGTGGAAGATATCATTAGCTCATCGCAGATATGAAATAATAGTATCGAATAAGGCAAATTAGTTTGTTGTTGTTCTCATTTATTTAGATCAACAACTATCAATCTCATTCATCGCGTTGCTTTTGATTACAGTTCGTTCATCTGACGCAAGATATTATAAGAAGACATATTACGACTGATTGTAAACAACAACAACGGAACGAAAAGAAAGACGTAATAAAAACACGTTCAATGCCTGATCAGAATCGATAGGCGTATTGGTGTTACGTGATCTAATCACAACACTGTGCATTAATTAACAGATAGATGGATGTGAAGTGGCAATTTCTTTGATTACAGTTTCGGGATTCAGCATCGACTAATCAGAAGGTAGTTATCTGGGGAAGGAAGGAAGGCACTTCACATAGCCAAATGGAAAAAGATGCTGGATGTTTATCGCGGCTGTGAGTGCGGAACGATTTGTTAAAGAAGGAGGCTCGAAACCATGAGTTGAAAATACGATGAGGGATTAGACGTAGCATACACAGCGTTAGCTCTAACATTTATGGCTCTGCTTGGCTCGACAGGCAGGCAGGCAATCCGGTCGATCGGCTCCTGTCCCGCTCTTTGAGGCAGGCTCTCGTAGCACGCCAATAGTTTGTTGCTAGTCTTGGAGATGCTGCTTACAAGCATACTACGCTGTTAGTTGTTGAATGTAGATGATCGCAATGGCGTTGTTTCAGTATTGAGCTGAGCTGAGCACAAACGCTCAATGGTGAGATGTTAGTACCTATGAATGCAAAGGGTTGGTTGCTTTGCTTGTTGCTTGATTCAGTTTAAGAGTGGATATAACTAACAACTAAAAGCGAGTGAATAATTCATCGGGTTGATAAATGCAAGGATGGCTGTAACGATTGACAAACATCGTATACGTTTGAGTGGTGGGCTGTGTGACTAGCAGATATTTGAATGCAGTTAGTGAGCGCTTGCTGTTATTGCCATTGAAGCAATGATCGGATGAATTTAATCAATACTACACAGATGATGAAATCCTAAGTCAATCATGATTTTGGACTGATTATTCAAAATGTGCTGTGCACTCATTCGGGTGATATGAATCACTGGACTCATCATTATAAAGCAAGAAATCAAACTTGCAAAAACAACAAAAATATTACTGAGAATTATTTGTAGCCTGTGTTCGCTTGGTTCTATAATACGTCGTTTCTTTCAGGTTTCACTCTGATCCTAATACCTTGGAGATGGATTTCAAAAAAAAAAATTCACCTTCAAGAGACAATGTGGAAATTTCAGGAACGCATCCGAATACCAAGATAAACTATCAGTATCGGGAACTTTAAAACTGCAAAAGATTTATATTAATCTTTGTGTACCCTAAAACATCACTCAACATCAGGTTGATCTCCCAGTGGGAGCATTTCTCCAATTTTCCTCACGCAATGAACGAACCCGCCAAAACAGCTTTCTCGAACTGGCCGTTAAAAGCTGCAAATCAAACACTCATTTGCAAATAGAATTGTTGAGGCCTGAAATCTACCGTCTCAAAACACTGTCTCCTTCAAATTGCTTCAAATAAATGAATGCACACTTCGATCTATTCACCAGATGAAATCGGATTCATTCATCCGCTAAAATCACGATAACCATTTAACAAGAGAGAGAGAGAGAGAGAAAAATCAGAAGAAGAAGTTACTTCACCCATCTAATTTTATTTACTTCTGTTTTAATGATTGAGGTATCACATGACTGAAATACTTGATATCCTTTATGATAGAGTGTATAATTTTCTAATTTCTTTTCTCTTTTTTCATCCTTTCTCCTCCGCTCAGCTACAGTTGGAGCAGTTTAATCACCATGTTGTAATCATTTGCACCAAACTCTACTGCATATATTATTATGCGAATAAATATCATTCATATTCTTTCCAAGCGAGAACATTCATATCCCAGTGAAAAAAACTTCACTAAGCTGTCTCGTAACTTATTGAGCGCGTTCAGACGGAAGCTAGTGATGCACTTATAGCAAGTGTTTGCGGTATGATTAAACATTTAACTTCCACCAGTTAGGACGAGTACGAACACAATGAGTTTGAATCGAACGCTTTTCAGTACTAAAGCGTAAATATGTATTTTAAATATCTTGATTCTGAGGAAAATAAGCATTCCCTTACAGACGAGAAGTAATAATTTAGCAGAAGTCTCAAAAAAAGTGGCTCCCCCCAAAGCCAACANAAAATATCGCAAGCTTTTGCTACCTTACGCCGGTAACAAACAATTGTAGTCAAAGTTATCACTACAATTTCCGCTACAAGTTACCATTGCTTTTTCATTAATGAGTAATGAAAAAAGTAACGAGGTATCGCGCTACCGAAAAAAGTAGCTGTGCTAGTAGCGGAATAGCGAATAGCGCGCTGTTGCCTACCACTGGTATCCTCCATTTCATAAGCTCGTCTGATATTTGATTTCATCAACCCTTTACAATATTTACTTCCCCGTGTAAGATCATATTTGCACTAATGAACAATCTTGCTAATAGCCAAGTAATTTACCTAAAAAAAATCATAGATCTCGACGAACAGCAATGCACGTCGGTTTCAACTGAGTGATCAAACGCTAATGAGTACAGCCAGACCAGCAGATTCCCATCAAATGCAAAATTGTGATGCGGATGTAAGTACTAATGGAATGAGCATGATTGATGAGTAATGGACCCAGGTGATTTCGCAACTAAATACACGCCATTAGCGAACGCAAGCATTTATTCTTAAAGTGTGATGCATAACGAAACGAGCACAACTGCATAACAATGCCAATGTTCTATCATCTTTCCAGAAACATTCTGAATGCAGGTTCAATAAGTGTATCACAAACACAACAAAAAACAATGCTCTGCAATCAGCTGCAGATAGCATTGTTTGATGAACATTACTCTACCAATTTTAACTAATGAAAATGGCACTATTTGAGCATTGTTGCCCATTTGTACACGTCTAATGAGCCTATATATGTAACAACATTTTCAATTCAATTTCATACACATGAGAAATTTATTAATTACTTCGATGCATTGATCTGCGGCCAATGTGATTAAATTATCGCGACCTGCTGATTTATTAACTGCGCTCATACGGAGCGAATCGACATTAACTCTCGCACGAACGAAATTGTTTTACGTTTTACGTAATCGGAGGCGAAGAAAGCTTTTCAAGCTCGACTCTATCTACTTTACTGTTTACTCATAATACAACAATTTTTGATGGAATCTTAACATATGCTAATGCTTCTAAATGTTACTGTATCGTTAAGAATGAAAATAAACGAAAACAACATTCTTTTATCATAGTCATGCACCGCAAAGCGGCAATACAATAAACCAGCTAAATAAGTCTCGCAATCAAAATTTGCACAGTTCTTACTGCGGGATTTTTGCTTTGTGTTCGTTGTGCAATTATATGTGCTTCAATGTCATCAGGTGATGAAAGTAGTAAATGTTTATTCGAAGACAGCAATGAAGATAATACTGATGAGGGTGATGATGATATCTGATCGAACGATTACAAAGAATTTAATGAAAGTCTAGCTGATCTAAAAAAAAAAACATCTGAAAGGCATTACATGTTAATCGGACATTGGACACCTGGTTTGCCTATCTTTTTGCCATTGTTGTTACGATTGTTTATTGGACTTTTATTCGGCTATGCTTAATTATTCGAAATATTTATGACAACGGGCATTCCTTATTACTTGGTTGTGGAATATTTACCATGTCGATCGCTATGGATCTATTCGGTTACATTAATCAAAATCGCTGTTGTTTCAAACAGCTGTTCCAAGCGATCATTGGGCGCACGTTCAACTGATCAAGCGGAACATATTTTCGCGCTTATTTTGAGTCCCTCTCCGTAGGAATGATTGGGCATCACAAGAGAGTAGTTTTACACTTTTATGCTCTACACTCCAAATCAATAATCGAAATTAGAATTTCATTAAAACGGATGATTTCATGCACTCATATCGTTAGCTGCGCGGGAAGATGATGTCAAGGAAAGAAGAATGTGATACTGGCGACAATTAAATGGTGGAATACGTGCAAACACCGCGATAGAGAGGATACACATTAGTGAAGTCACCTTAGTGCAGCCATCGGCAATCCCCGGCACAAATTGTAATGAATACTTTCACGACATATATTTCTTTATATAGGACTTGTATTACTTATTAGGTGTCGTCTGCAGATTGCATATAATTTGTGTGCCATATTCGTGATTTATTGAATTGCTCTGTTTGTTGATAAAGACTATCGCCGGAAGGATGATCCGAACAAGAAGTCGCTAGTGAACCGCGTAATCGAAATCACTCGCTGGTCAAGCAGAATCCAGCAATCAGCAAGTGCCGCGTGGCAGACACAAATAAGGCAAGTTCTCTCTGAAGCACCTATACTGTGCAAAAAATAATTACTGGCTCGAATCCGGGTCAGACAAAGTAAGAAAAAGAAAAA